CACTTTGTAAAACTTTAAAGTTAGAAATCCGTGTTTCGGCACTGGGATCAAACCGATCACTTTTCGGTATCAGAATTCTCGTAATTAACAAATCGGACTCCCGCTTCGCGATCGTCCGATGTTGTTAATCTCTAGTATAATTACAGGCCGAGTTGGACTCCACTCGGTCCTATTACCATTATAAATACCTGACCTATAAGAACGCTCTAGAAAGTCTCATGGTATGCATGTCAGCGTGACTAGGTATTCTAGAAATTTGTAAAATCCTTATTTTTACAGTCATTAACCAGAGCAAAATTGAGAAATCATTAAGATCGAGAAAAATTCGCTTTGTTTTACAAAGAGGGCCAGAAAGCAGTTTTTAACTCAAAGGTGGCAAGGTGCTACAAATAAACCGCCGGTTTGTAAAGACACCGATCATTATGACACAAAGACTGAAGACGTGATGGGTAAGCCTGTTTGTTAAGCTGTAAAAGTCCGGTGAGAATCGCAGAATTTCGTGATGTGCTCACATTAACTGAACTTGAAAGACATACGCTGCTACACTCCTGTAACCGAGTTTCTCGAGACACATTTTGCACTGTCCCTCCGAAGTTGGTGAAATTTTTCAGCAGATCATGTTTTGATTTCCTGTTATCTGGAATTTTTGTAACATGAAACGTCTTTCGTAACAACGGTTTTTCGCCATCTATCGATTTATCGTTTCCTACACTCCCTAACCCTGAAAATAGAGTAGAGTTAATTGAAAAGACTTGGAAATCATCAGTTTACTGAGTGGAACTGCTCTATAATTCTGCAGGAAGGTTTTAAAACTTCGAATATATTTTTATTCAAGACTGTCAACTCGACTGATTGGTTACCGTAATTGCAATATCAGTTAAACTCAATCCAGTTAAAGTTAAACAAAGGTCAGCTTCAAGATTTCGATTAACATCATCATCATTTTGAAGTGTTTCAAAAGAAGCCACACTATCAGCCTTTGAACCATAGTTAGGAGCTACCAAGTTTAGCGAGATATTTTCCTTGAGAATAAGAAAAATGGTTAACTACTTCTAGAAGAATTAAGATGGAATTTAGCATCAAGTTCAGTCCATCGATATTTTCGTGATAATCAGTCAGATTAATTCCTGGTCACTTACCAATTACAGATGTGCCAAGGATAAGCCACAATGATGAGCTAAACTTGTTAGTTCCCAACTGTGGTTCAAAAGCTGATAGAGCGTTTTAAGACCATGGTCCATTAAAAGGTCTTCTTGAAAGAGATGCAAAATTTTCCACCTGCTTAAAAGCTTTCATTTGAGAAAATTAATGAAATGAATCAGCTGGATATACAACTCGTAGCTTAAAAAAAACGCCACCCCATTACAACGTTTCAAAGAATTTGGACGGGTTCCGGAAACACCTGTTACAATAATCAAGCGAGATTCAGACTACAACTCGTTTTTAATCGTCATTTTTGAAATCTCTTATGATGAATTCTTAGAATGTCGTGAAAGTGTAGGTAAATTATGTTATGACTTCCCTTGATGCGAACGTTTCCCGTGAACAAGGATTTATACGACTCTGTAACCTAAAACAATTTTGTGAGTGCGGCTTTTAAAATTTACCATTTACGGTGTCACTCATTTACTTAACCCTTCAACTCCCAGGGCCTCATTAGTAATTCTCTCCTCTGTCTTACATACAATATAACCATTGGAAACCAGAACAGATGGACATCTTTTGCTAGGATTCATAGGGTCTGATGATTGTAATGTATATCTTTTAGTGTTCAAACTTTCAACTTTGCATTAATTGTTGCTGTCTACCATATCTTTTCTCTGTACCTTAAGCCCTGAGAAGTTGAAGCAGGTGAGTCAATAACCTGACTTCCTTTGTTTGGAATTGTGTGATTATATAATTTTCCTGTGTAAGTTACCAACATGTAATATTAAATACACTTGCTCAAGTTTTCATTAATGCATGGTGTTTCTTAACAATGGTCCCACCCAAACTGAACATCGAAATAAGGAATTGGTCATAAGATATGTAAGTTTAAAAGGGTGGGAATGTGGAAAAACAAGGATCCTCCTTTAATTAGGACTGTAATTAATGGAGGCCCTCTTATTTTAATTCATATTTCTAATTTGACCTGCCTCCTCCCCTGCAATGTGAAGGGCACATCGATGAAGAGAACATTTGATGCATGAAAGTTAAATTACCAGTAATTGGCATCCACATAATCACACAGCAAGAATGTAGAGATTTTGCTTTATAGGTTAAAAAATTAAAATAAGAGAGTTTTGCAGACCATGTCTGACTTTTTATCCTGGCTCTGGATATATATTCAAATAACATAGTCACTATCAGTCTTATTCACTCTCACTTTCCACTGAGCTTGTGGAAAGATGATAACATCATTATTTCTTTAAATGAAGAAAGGAAAGCCTGTCCTCTTACCACAGATAGTTCTATTGGGCATCATCAGTACAAACCTGGTCTAATTTTTACATGAAGGTGATTGTTCTTGGTAGGCTAACCTTAAAAATTAGTTGTAAACATTTCTTGAACCTGTCGTTTAACGTCTTGAATGTTTGACTCAATAATACCTCACTAACCTAAACTGAATATGTAGAACATGAAATTTATTTGTTTTCCTTTTGAGGGGGGCATCAAAATTTCAAAGTTATCACAGGCTTAAACTATAGGTTTACAGGAAATCTCCATGTGCAGGTGTTTTTAATTTATGAAACTGGGATTGTGACTACTTCAAAAGACTTTACTACATGCCGTATAGGTGCAGGCAGGTGTTGTTAAAAAAGTTTGCTAAGCTTTTTCATTAGTACAGATTTCTTTTTCTAAGAATTCTGTTTATCCAGCCTGTGCTGAATTCTAATTTTTCAACCAAATTTTACTATTTTTTTAATAGTACTAGATCTTCTAGTATCAGTTAATGTTCTTGTAATTAAAATAACTACATTGAATCTTGCAGATGTATGGCATATTATTTTTTCTCTGATCCTCCTAACATTTTACCGTGTGAAGGGACTGGTATTGGCTATAAAAGTACAGTCATATTAAAGTTTTTTGCACAACCTATGCATCAAGTTTTTTGTTATAAAATATTGTATCCTTCTTAAACTAGTTTATCAGAATAGGAATGAGTTACTGGGCACAAGTATGACTTTCAAGATGAGTTTCCAGGTTTGAAAAAAGGTAACTGCCTACTAAAATCCTCAGTTCCTTTGCCCTGACAGCCCAACTCATCAAAACATTGCCAACAGGAGTGATTAGCAAATTATTGATACAGACAAGAGGGCCTTTTCCTACGTACATCCTCCTCAATCCTGTTAGCTCACTATGGACATAGCGTTTCAAACATGGTGTATATGCCACAAGTTTTCCATTTCCTTGACTAATTATTTTGTAATAGTGTTTATATATTGAAGAAAATGGTTGAGTTGAAATATAATACAAATACTTGCCAGTAGATTGTCAGATGAAAACTTTTTACATATCAATAAACTGTATCGCGTTTCATGTTAACATGTTGCGACAATTCCACCTCTCAGTAAATTCAATTATCTGCAAACATAAGAAAATACAGTCTAAAACTTTTCAACCTATTTAATATGGCCAATAACAACTTCAACTTAACTTCTTAACTTAAGAGAAAACTTGGTTGATGTTTAGAATTGATTTATGTGATGTAAAAATGAAATCCAGGTATCAGCGCAAGTTTCCTAAAAGACACCCACATTACATGCAGTTACAGCAGAGGTTATCGAATTAAATAACAGAAAAAATCTCAAAAAGACGTCGTTTATTTCCAGCCAGAGGACAATCATGAAACATGAAACAAGAGTAGCCAAAAGTGAAAAAGTTTTCAAAAATTATACAGGTTCAAAAGCGAGTTGAAAATCACTTTTTTTTTTCAATTTTCTACGCTAAACAGAGGAGGTTGAAACGTTGGGGAAAAACGTTGGGGTAAGCAGTCGTAATTAAGTCGTAAGCTACCCATGCGCTGAATTTAGTGCGTAAGTTATTATAAAGTAATTTTTCATCAAACTTCTACGATTTTTCGCAAAAAGTGTGTTTTGGGTTCTTATTGTAACAATTACGAGGAGAGAAAATACTTACTCAGCCAGCAGCTTTTCAAACTCGAAGTCTGTTGTCCTGATACTGTCTTCCTTGCTTCCCAATCGTGAAGCCAGTTCGTTCCAGATGTGTGAATCGCTGCGAAGCTCTTCGATTTCGACATTGTTCTCATCTGTGGTACTTTCCAATTTCTTTTTTGCTTTATTAAGGCTGGCCTTTTTTTCCTCCCTCAACATCGTCTTGCACTTTTCATAGTGATTTCCTAATTCTTTTACGAGGAAACGTATCCAACATTTCATTTTCTTGGGGCTCATCGGGTACTTTTTCTTCATTACGTCTCCGTAACGAAAACCACTGATAGATTCAGAGACAGGTCCTCCGACTGCTCCCAAGATCTTGGTACCCGCTGGAAAGCCAAAGGTTGAAAGTTGTAAGTAAGAGAGCATTTTTATCATTTGTGACAGTTAATATCGAGAGGAGGGGAATACGTGAAAGAGAGACTTCCGTATATTTGACCCAGAGAAAAATAACAAAATGTAAAGGAAAGAGTACTTTTTACCTTCGACGGCCTGGTTAAAGCGCCACAGCAATCATACGCCTAACCTAGCTGATTTACGCTGGCAATTTTACATGCTGTTAGCTTAGTTTTCTTTCCTGAATAGACAACCGTACGCGTTGACCAAAGTCAAGTTTTCATCCCTAAAATCTTGGTCTACCATGAAAGCAGAAATACACGTATTAGCTTCCTGTTTTGGTTGTTAACTCGCCCTATGATTCTGAATGGCATGTGTTTAATGTTAAGAAATAGCCGCCACGTGGTGCGAGACCATGTACAGATATTTGTCATCTCGAACCCCAGAATATCTGGGGTTTGAGATGTCTGAATAGGACTTGACACTTCACTTGAAATGTTTGACATTGACTCACGCACCTGCTATGGCGACAGCGAAGAAAGCGACAGTCGGAATATGTAAAGTTAAGACACCAATTGCGAATGGTAAGAAAAAGTTGCTTGTGTAGTAGTAATGAGGGTCGAAGAAGCAATGGTATTCTTCTTTGGGTAGTTCTCGATATTGAAGCTGTGGAGGTTCATGAGAAAACCATATCTTGAAAGACTGAAACTTGCGGCATTTGATGTGTTTTTTCCACTCTTGGCATGCTTTACTGATCTCATCTCTTTTTCTTGTGATAACCTTTTCGGTCTTCTCGTTAATCTCTTTGAGGAAGAGTTGGAAAGCAATTTCTTCTAATACTCCTTCACCTAATTTCTTTTCTACTTCCTCAAACAGGTTGGTGGTGGTGGAAATTTGTAAATCCTCATCTTCACTCTTGATGCTTTCAAAAGCATTATGTAAAGTCTTACTACCTTTCCACAGGGAAGCCAACTCTTCTTCTAGACGCTGTAGCTTTTCTGTATTCTTCTTTTCGATGGCTTTTTTTAGCCGATCGCAGTACTCCAAGGATCGTAAAGCGATAGATTTCGCCTGCTCTGTTAATGACTTGCCTTTTAACTCTGTTGCCCTCGTGGCCAAGGTGCGCTCGAACTCTTGAAAACTGAACTGAAAAGAATGGGTAGCGTAATATCAGAGCAAAATTGTTCTGATCGACTATAAGACGTACGTGGAGGTCAGCGAGAGGTTCTTATTCTTAAATTTTACCCTTATACTGTGGTGTTCTCTAAAGTCCACAGCGTTGAACATACTAGTTTAAGAATATTTTATTCATTATTCCTGGCTCTCTCCTTGCCAAATGTGGTGTGAAAGAGGAAAAAAATAGACCAATAATGAAAAGGAAAAGAAGAAATTCTGAAAGGGTCAGAAGGTTCTGTGCTCAGTCGAAACTTTGATATTTGTGCATGCCTCAGATTAGACCTTTTTCATGGCTCTCCTTATTCGAAATTTCTGTCTACAATGTGTGGTATCTTTGTTTGCATTGAGTATTTGTACATAAATTGAGATTCACTATGTATAGTGTGAGTACTTACGTCAGGTTCTAAAAAGTTTTCCACGTTAACGAAGTAAACTTCGCTTTTCCCTTGAAGAGCCTCCCGGAATTCCTTTTTGTAGGCCTCGGCTCTTTCAGTCACATTTTTGACCATGTCATCTCCTTCTTTCTCCGCTCTTCTCAAACACTCGTCCCATTTTGTAAAGACTCCAAAAGTGAATGGACAACCTACGTCTTTCACCAGCTTTGTGAGCTACGATATCATAAAAATAACAAACCTTTTTTTTTTACGGGTTTACGAATAGACATCAAAATGCTAATAATATTAATCGAGACATGGACTTGATTTTCTTTCAAAGGTTCCAACGCCAGTGTTTTGTGAAAATTACCTCAAAACTAACCATAGAAGAAAAATATACAATGCAACTCTTCACACCAGTAGAGAAATTCTATTAACTCGAAGGAATCGCTTCTGATTTGATCGGGGAACAGGGTGCGATAATAATGGGGATATATTAGAACAGGCTTTGCGCAGATAACGCGGTGTCTTTGCTGAAAAAAGAGTAAGCTATATCGCTTCAATGTAATCAACGTAAGGGAAATAAAATTAAATTATGTTAACAGGAAAAAAAATTGAAGTTTTACTAACTCTCGCTCTTGACGGTGACGAGGAATCCATAACAGCTACAATTATGTCTGCTTTTTTGCACCTCTCAGTGACAAGCTGGATATCTTCCCCACTCTCTCCAAAGCCCGGTGTATCACACAAGATGACGTTTTCAGGCAACTTTTTACAGTTTTCCTTAGGCCAGTTGATCTGTATAATGGTGTTTAGATCGATTCCTTTCTCTTTCCGTAACTGTTCGTTTTCCAGACCACTCATTCCACTCAAGAGATATTCTAACGCCTTTTCTTCAATGGCCTCCGAGAGAAACTCCACTTCTCCGTCTTTGCCAATTTTCTCAACCGACCACTCCTCAATCTCCTTGACGCAAACTCTAATTGAACACATGGTTGTTTGCATGAATCCAACGGGCAGACGACGTTTGCGAAGAAGGGCGTTTATAACTGATGATTTGCCACTGTTAGTTGTTCCAACGAATTCAATGGCTATATCTTTAGAAGCCGCCTTCTTGCGTACATTTCCTAACTCATCCATTGCTTTGCTTAGGCTTTCGGATAGTTCTCTCAACTCATCCCATTCCTTGGAAGTTGTTTCCTCTTTACTAAGGGTCTCTTTGAACTGCGTCAAAGTATCTTCAACATTTTTCGTATCTTTCTGCAGTGATTCTGTTAACTTCTTCACTTTCTCACCAAGGATTATAAAATTTTCCCACTCACCCATGACTGGTGATGATCTATCTAATACTTCACTTTTTTTGATGCATTAATTGAATGAAGTTTACGCCTGAAAACAAATAATAGAGATAATCTTTAATTTTTATAACTTCACCATCCTTCAATTTTCAAGAAGGATTGGAATCACTTCTGGAAATGAAGACCGAAGTGGCTGACTTCACGTCAAACATTTGGAAAAGCTTTTGGCTCAACTACTGTTATTCAGGGACTTATAAGTCCGAAAGGAATGGTTATGTCAAAGAGTTTGTATAATTCAAACACGCTGCATAACAATTACTCTTATGCCTCGACATTTTTTATTCTTACGGCAGGTTAAGTACTTCTTTGAATTACTCTTTTGTCTCGAAACACTTCTCGGCTATTTTGTCTGTTTCCATTGATAGTTTTTGGGTATGGAGCGATTCTAAGTCGACTTTGAAGTTACTCGCTTGGTTTTTAATTTCTCTCGACTTTTGTCAGCTTTTTGATAACTTTCTGCGTAACTAAAACTCCTAATCGAAAAGCTAACTTGTCTGTTAATAACGTTGCTTTAAAATGACGAATTGTGGAAGGAGCTGTCCCTCGCCTAGACGTATTATAGTTCTCGACTGGTGAAATGAACGGAAAAGTATTTCTGAATTACCATAGTTTCCGTACGGCTGCACAAGCGCAGAAGTACATGACCCAAAAATTTTATGAATTTTTTTTTGTGGGTGGGTATTTAGTAAAGTCGTGTTAAGTGAAAGTCGTGCACCAAAGAAAGATTCCACGCAGAGTAAATAATGCTGTATACGATTTGATATAATTATGTGCACGCGAATTCTTTTTCAGAAACGGAGTAATACAGACTTGCCTCGTTTGGCAAAATTAACTTTCTCTTTTATTGCGTTAACAACGGCGTTCTGGTTGCATTTCCAGTTTTTGGGACTCGTTGCATCGCCTAAATATTTTCGCCTGTACCGGCATTTTTGAGAGGCCAAAGTGTCATCTAATTCTTTTCTCGCCTAGTTATGATGTCAAATATAACAAAGTTCAACATATCAAAATTTTCAGATGAGTCGATCAGCTTGTTCGATCCTGTTTTGGGAATTGCCAAATAGTAATCGCTTCCTTTAGACTTGGTGATTAAGGGTTTTAGCAATGTTGCTCAATAGTAAAATCAGTATCTCTAGAGTTGCTGCTGTTAACTGTGGGATCTATGTGTCTACGTAGCTCGATAAATCTTGCGGCGTTTACCAAGTTTTTCTATGATAACGTGATCTCAGCCTACTGTTCATTTTGCTAGGTTCATTGATTGAAATAATATCCAAACGCATGGAAAAATGTCTATAACTGAAGTTGTCAATTTAATAAAGCTCGCTATGATACGCTCTCTGATAGGTTAAAACAGCAGGTTCTACCAGAGTCCTAAGGTTTTGGCTTAAGCATACATTTTTTTGGCAAAACGTACAAGCATAAAGAAGAAGGGAGATACAGGGTATGTCTCGATAAATTAAGGGCGGAACTGAAAAGATGATCGATAGGAAAAGGAATATTTATCTAATATATTACCAGTAATACATTACTGGTATTAATGGTATTTGGTTTGATGAAGTTTCCGGAAAAGTTTCACGCTACAAAAAGGTTCCACACTTCGTACCAGCAGCACAAACATATAGAAATTTGGTAGATACGATTAGACATATGCATGCGAATAGCTATCCTCTCAAAAGTTCTCCTTGTAGGCTTCAGTTTAACAAAATTAAAACAGGATACCATGTGCATGGCTCTGTGACCTAAATTCCCGCTTTAAGTTTTTCTCTCAAGAACGAAATGTCAAGTTTGGCCATGTAATAAATCCTTTAATGAATAATAGCGTAATACTTCTCTCCGTTTTTTGATCGACCTCAATTTCGTTTCACCATGATTACGAAAAATGGAAGCAGACTGGGAATGACTCACCTTTCGTTAAATTTGCACGACAGTAGAACATTTGTTACAATTGTGAGACGAGGAAACAATGTGAATAACCACGAAAGGGCGATTATAAGCATTGATAAAGTTATCTTGTTTTTGACAAACTAACTCAAGGTGGCTATTGAATTCCTTTTTTCACATCATAAAACAGAGAAAGTTTAAATTAATACCTGAACTCTTCAAACGTCCACAATTTATTGTTGAGGAAATATTCCAATATTCCATGTAGGAGGCCAGTATAAGTTTACGAAATCTGTTATCGGCTTTTTATTATCTCACTTTAAGAAAGTAAATATCCTTGAATTGACTGGGAAAAAGGCAGTTCGTGTCAAAGCTACTTCGCCAATATACAAAAAGTATCAAAACTAAGCACTTCAAGTCCAACGAGCAAAGAAAAATTTTTCTAACAAAGGTTGATCGGCTAACAAGCACAGTGTTACAAATACTGACGTTTTGCTTTCATTGCCAGGGCTGCTCTGCTTGTGGATTATACATTAATTTAGTAACGAGACACTAATACATGATTGGGATGTGAAAGTTTCCGAATTATTTTGCGAGAGATAAATGGCTAAAAACGCCGTCTTCGGTTGCTTAAAATATTCAGCTAAACTTAGACATTCCAATATTGCAGCAAGAAAATCCTGTATAAACCGATTGCAAATTTTTCAAGATAAGTTTATTTCTTACTCCCATTTTGACTGAAATACTATATGTACCGACTAGAATTTGCATTTCTGTTTATCGTCAAGTAACTGCGAAATTATCCTCCATTGTTTTTCTTTCAATTGAATTACTGTCGTATGAAATGTTTCTATTAAATAAAGTTCACATTTTTGCATAAGGATGCATAATAATTATGTAACGCCGGTAGTGTTTTATTTCTCGGTAGTATAACTGTTGTTTTCGATAGATAATTTTCATTACTAGTTGATTTCAACTAAGTCAGTCGTTTCGTTAGCTATTGCTAGCGTCGTGTTATTTTTGTTTAAAAGTTCTACTACCGGATGTAGTTACGCCACAAATTGTAATTTGTAGGCGCAAAAATTTGTATTAATATATTTTTGTTGTTGTTGTTATTTCATAGTTTCGAGTTAGATGTTGTTTCTCGTCTTCATTAGTGTCCTTTGTTAATTATCAGTTTTGTACTTGCTATATTCATTTGCATATCGTATACATTCTGTTCGCGTGTAATTTATTTGGTTAGTTGTCTGGTTTGCAGAACATATCGGAACAAAAAAAAAAAATTCCTTCTTGTATGCTTCTGTTTAACAAAATTCAAAAATATTTCTTTGAGGCTGACTCTGTGAGCTGGATTTCCGCTTTTAATTTCTCTCACAAAATTGTGTAAAAAATTTGGTTGCATAATAAATCCTTCAGCGTGTGGTAACTTAGCTCTTTTTCAGCGTTATTTTTATCGACCTCAAATTCGGCTCGTCCATAAATACGCAATTCAATAGGATTGACCCTTCTTTAAGTTTTCATAAAAGTTTTTGTATTTTCCCATGAAAGCTTGTGGTGACCACGTGACCTGTTTGGGCATATCAGGTGAGACACGCGAACATATCTCTGAACATTTTGCATATTACAATGCATGCTACCAAATACCAGTTAGAAGCCTGACACCAAGCTTATTTTCGTAGCCAGTAGGAAAAAAAAAATAACAATAAGGCGAACAGTAAACGAAATCCATTTAGGAAAGCGAATTAATCTAAAAAGTAATTTGCTGTTTGCTGAGTTCGACATTTTTATGAATCAATCAAGTCCTTTTGTCCTCTGGAGTTTGCCCCTGATGTTTTAATTCAGGAATAAAATGAAACATTATCTATAGAAGAAGGTCCATTCGAGGACATAGTCTAGCTTTAGAGGAACTCTCATTACTAAACGGCACACGTTGCCAATTTAAAAAGTTTTCGATACGTTGCGTTCAGTAAACAGGTTGAATTTAAGAATATTGAAGAAGACAACTAGCAATGTCATTTCCTAATGCCATCCACTTACACAGGTGCGTTAGTATGAGATCGGCAAGGAATCCTCTGCCGGCAGCTTGACTTCCAAGAGCGAGATCAATTGAAAATTACGCAGTTGTAGCTGTATTCAGTAGGGAGAAGACCCGTATGTCAGCACTGAATTTTGTTTAAGGATGATCTCAACTTCTTTTACGCAAAGTGATTTCTGAGGTCAAATATTTGCTCAAAACAAAAACATCATTCTCTTAATGTTAGACAACGCATGAGCAAGAAGAAGGAATGCCTGTTTTTATCCGGCTTTTCTTTACGGATTGGTAATGGAGACGTCTTCTGTATAAGGAAAAAACATCTTTCTTAAATCTTCACCGAGCTCAAAAAATTACCATCTCTACTATTTCTATCTAAAAACATTACGCTATCGACATTGCTCATCCTAGCAGTATGCAGGACGCGTGTCATATGAACTTTATAATAGACCTCGCTCACGGTAGAGTCTCTGTGGCTCAGTGGTAAAGCACTGGAGCGCGACATCCGAAGGTCTGAGGTTCGATTCCTCATAGGGACTCAGAATTTTTCTTTGTCCCACGCTCGTGACAAGACGAAAAAACATGCTTCTTAATAACATTAACAGTAATAATAATGATATCAGAAGCAATACAATAATAATTTAAGATGCCTATGACACGATATTTTC